GAGTTGGTTTTGAGACATATTTATACCTGAATTAGAATCTATTGCATTTATTAGGTTAGTCAGAGCAGATTTTTGAACCCCATCCTTTGGTCATTTATAGCTAGCAATTCCAGATAAAAACTGATGTCTAGTAATTGTAGATATTTCATAATCATTAGCACCAATATCTTTTAATCATTATACAAGTGTTTTACGACCTGCTTGATTAGTGATTTTATAGTCTTCACAATTAATACTGGTTTTTTCAGCAAGCACTCTCATAAAAGTTTTTAATTTCAATTGCCTGAGTTGAGTTTTTTTGTACTATACTTTAATTGATGAATAATCTATTTTAAATAAATATTAATATATATATAACTTATATAATAATAAATTATATGTATGTATATGCATATCTGGTGCAGATTTTGTATCAATTGGATGTAAATAAAATCTAGGATCAGCATCAACTGGCTGCTTTGAGAAATATTTCTCATAATTTGCAATTATTTTAGGATTATCAGCAGGAATTAATATCTTATTGGCAGAACCAAGATTATTTAATCCATGTTGATTTGTTTTAGATTTATAGATAAAAACATCAAAACTGTTATCTTTTCTTTTATGAAATTGATTAACCATCATAGTATAGTGCTTACCACCACGTAGAGCTAAGAAAATTGCATTATAAAAAAAACTCAATTTAATAATCCACTTAGTGTATCTCTTGATATTGCATCATATTGTAAAATACATTGAATTTCCTCAAAAGATAATGAATCAAATCCATTAGTTTTACCATAACCTTTTTTAGAAAGGTCTCAGGTCTTTTCATCAAGTATTTCCCATAAACTAGAAAACATCTTTTTGTCACACAAATCAACAGGTTTGACTTTACTAATATTTGAATTGTAAAATCTATTGATCGCTATAATTGCAGACAAAAGTGACAATACTGTGTATTCTGATCCATTGCTCTTTTTAGCACAGTAAAATATTCACAAAGTTGTGTTTCGAGTTTAGAAGTATCATTTATATCTTCTAGTGCCCTTCTAGTCCAACGTCTGAACGATATTCTTGAAACTTATTGATCCAATTTTGTATTGACCTATGAGTATTTTAACTTTAGGCTTGTTACACAAATATGACAATTGTTCTTCGGTTGGTTTTTGATAGGTTTTTTCTTTTTTTTTAATTTTGGTCATTTTGAAATAAAATCGAATCTACTGATCGAAGAAGTATTTTATTTAAATAATAAAATAAACTACTAATATGACGTAATAGTATAATCATCAATAACTGCTATACGATAATATAGTTATTAGTATAGGTAATAACTATATGGTATAGCGCACATGTCTATTAAACTATTGGCAATATTGATCCGAAATTTCGCACATGTGCGTCCCGAAATAACGCACAGGTACTCAAAATAATGCACAGGTGTGCGTTATTACGCGACAATACGGTAGTATCTTATGTTCCCCTACCCATATGAGTGTCTTAACAAACTTGCACAAGTTACATACAAACTAATAGAGAGGCTTATGATCTCGCGGTTATACTAAGTCTCTGTCTCATCTTTATTTACATTTATCTTATCATGCCACGAATTATCGTACGATTTCTAAGTCTCAACGATAATGAAAATTTCACAGCCTCTGTCATCAGTCATATAATTTTATGGCGCAGTGACTTTTTTCGAAAACGCTATTATGAAACACCTGATAAAAATTAGCCGAATTATTTTTCAGCCGATTCGATTAAGTTTGTAATAAATTCAATGAGAGGTTTCAGAGTCAACGTGCAGGAATCTAATTTTGACAGAAATAGATAACGTACTTATTTTCAAATCACTTTATTTCATTTTCCAATAAATTTTAAATGATGATATTTGTCGTTAAAAAATTTATTTCGTTAAATGGAAGTCTCTAAACAATCCATTTCATTTTCCGGTTTCAAAATTTTGATATACAAAAAAGATTTTTTTTATTCCATAATACGTTATTTTTTTTAATTATGAAACCCCCTCACTAGGTGTGCTGACATACGATCTGTAGAACAAGTATTACATGAGATACAATATCAAACTATTACGTACGCACATATATACCGCAAACACAAACTCAATTGAATCGGCCGAAAAATCCTTCTGCTAATTTTTATCAGGTGTTTCATAACTTATGATAATAGCTATAAAATTGGGCTTGAAAAATTGTCAGTGATAATTTAATTTCGACCAACATTGGTAACTTGTTTATTCCGACTCAATAACTTATCGATTTATGAAAATAGCTGTAAATGTTTAATATTGGCAAATAAATTTAACAGTTAAGCATCATATTACGTACTGTACGTACTGTACATGTAATATATATATTACATATAGTACAGGCAAGATTATATGTATAAAATTTTTGACAAAATCCTTTGCGTTTTAATCAAAAAGGAACATTATTGAAAACGATTTGCGGTGCACCAACAAAAAAAAAGAAAAAAAACTGGAGTGGGTTAAACTAAATTATTTAAAAACAAATAAATAAAATTAAAATGATAATTTAAATAATTGAAATGTTTAAAGTATACAAAAAACTATTTTAGAAGAAACTACCATTAAGTATTAAATGGATAATCTGGATCCTTTCCTTCTGAACATATTTTCAGTACACTCATGTTACATATAGTACAAGTATATCCTCCTGAACAACTACTTTGAGGAATACACTGTTTCCAAAGATAATATGTGGTTGTGTTTTTCGAATTGTACGGTCCAGTACAACTAATGTCGCATTTGGTGATGTTGGTTACTTGTGGGCAGTGATAGGCAATATGAGTCTGTGCACCTAGCACGTCACTTGCACTTGTGATTATAGCAACAGCTTCAAGATTGTCTGGTCTGGTGCACATCAACAACTGGCAAGTCGAATCGAGAGCATTAATACTCAAAATAACATAAATAAGCAATATCACAACAATCAAAGCTTTTCCTTCAAATTGTAGCATGACTGATTAAGAAAAAGAAACAATGATAAGGAATAG